GGACATGAAGAGGGTCACATATTTGGGCCACCTGAGTTTTCAATCCTAGTTAATCCAGAGAATAAAGGAAGCTCAGTCCGCCGATTCCACCCTAGCAGCCCTCAAGAAAGATGCAGAACGGGAGTTAATTCAGAATTTCGAGTCTCTGCCGATGGGTTAGTCAAATTCTAGGACATAGTGTATGTTCTGGATGACAGTGAGTTAAAAAGAGACATTATAACAGAGGTTTATAACTCAAAGTTTGTCATTCATTCCGGAAGCAGTAAGATGTACCAAAATATCCAATCTCGATTTTGGTAGAATGGAATGAAAAGAGATATAGCTGACTTTGTTTCTATGTGTTTGGTATATTAGCAGGTCAAGGTAGAGCACTAACGCCTAGGTGGGCTACTTCAACTATTACTGTTTTTGGAGTGGAAGTGGGAACATATCACCATGGATTTCGTGACAAGATTACTTAAGGCATGCTCAGGACGTTATGCCATCTGAGTAATTGTGGACCGGCTTACCAAGTATTTCTACTTCTTGGCTATCAGAATGACCGATTCTTTGGATAAGTTGGCAAGAATGTATATCCGGGAGATAGTCAGATTATATGGAGTGCCAGTGACAGTAGTATTCGACAGGGATCCCATATTCACTTCTCGGTTCTGGTCTAACCTTCAGCAAGTTATGGGAACGAAACTGTCCTTTAGTACTGCATTCCACCCTCAGATCGATGGATAGTCAGAAAGGACAATCCGCACACTTGAGGATATGCTCTGAGTTTGTGTTCTTGACTTCGGAGGCCATTGGGATAACCATCTACTCCTGATAGAGTTCGCCTACAACAACAGCTACCAAATAAGTATTGACATGGCTCCTTATGAGGCGTTGTATGGCCGCCCATGCAGATCGTCAATATGTTAGGAAGAAGTGGGTGAGACATAACTGTTCGGCCCAGATATCGTAAAGGAGACTACAGCCAAAATAGTTAAGATCAGAAAGAATATTCAGACGGCTTAGAGCAGACAAAAAAGTTATGCGGACACCCGAAGGAGAGATTTAGAATTTGAGAAAGTCGATTGGGTGTTCATTAAGGTCACTCCTTTCAAAAAAATTAGTAAGTTTGGCAAGAGGGAGAAACTAAATTCCTGGTTTATTGGGCCATTTGAAATATAATTGGTACCGCCGCCTACAGACTAGCACTGCTTCCAAAACTTTCTATGGTCACAATGTGTTTCATGTGTTCATTCTACGTAAGTACGACTCGGACCCCTCTCATGTCTTGGCCCACAAGCCTCTTTCACTCCAGGAGAATCTGTCATACGAGAAAGTACCGGTCGGTATTATGGACTGAAAGAGTAGATTACTCCGTAATCGGAAAATTCTTTTTATTAAGGTCCTATGGCAGAATCACATACCGAGAAAG